GTTTGTTTACCATTTCCACTGAAAGTCGACTTCGTGTTTTTGATTGGACCGTACACGGATCTTTCTAGCTAAATTCGAAAACTATCACTTAGTACTAAACGTATCGATGTTGCCTTGACAGCTAGGAGGCGCTGTTTGCAAAGTTAGAAGTTGTCAACACATCATCTACTTTCGGATAAAAATACAACACAGAATGCGAATTAATTGAACACATCTCTATAAATATCCAATACGCTCTATCCAGGTTCGTTTAGCAGCGTTAATTTGCGTTTCACTATAACAGAACTTCATCAGTCCCCTTGCAAAAGCCATTTTTATAATTAAAATCGCAAAACAAAAACTTCTAAATTTAACGTTTTTTTTTTCTATTTCTATACACATGTCAAAGGTTTCTGATGTTAGCACCCGAATTCATATCGAGGCAAGTGTTTAATGTAGAAGGTTGGAATAGCAGAGGAAACCCTTGGTTGCTTGGCGCGTAACTATTGTATAGGCCAGAAGTAGGCATGCTTTCTCCCAAGTTGAGAAGAATTCTAAACTTACTTTGCATTCGGGATATTTCACAACCAAGTTCGTAAGTGGAACAGCTTGAATACGTTCTATTCACCGTATAGTTACGATAGAGCTAGTACCGAAAACCCAACCGCTACGAGTGAGTTTAGCAAAGCGTAATGACGGAGGTTCAACAAGATCATCACAAAGCTGACGCACGATACGCTAAACGAACCTTGAAAGCTCGATAAGGTGTTTTCAAGCAGGCTTGGGTACGTCATGTGGACCGTAGTAATTTTATATAAACGGCTGTTGAATGTAGGCCTATTTTTAACAAAGCCTGGAAGAGCATTTACTAGACATAACCCTTTGAGCAACGTTTTCGATCAAACTAAATTGTACACTCTATCATGACTTTAGCTTCGCCCCTTTTGACGCCTAGGATGCTGAAATTGCTCCACATTGGACTGTATCAAAAAGAAGAAGAAATAAAGCTTAGATGTTTTAGTGAACCATTTAAAACACCCACGGATCGAAATCTTTTCTTTTCTGAATATACGTTTGGGGTATTATGTTATGCACTGGCTTGGTTAATTGACCTATAGGGCTTCATTACCGTTATAAGCTACGATTACGTTATCCCTAATAATCTGCTTTACAAATAATAGCCCTATTTCTACGGAGAAAATGCGTCAGTCGCGACGTGAAAAGTCGCAGTTACTGGTTTTGTACAGTACGTACGATGCTGCGTTTTTTCAGGGCGAGCGCACGTTTCACTAATAGCAGCTTCCAACCGAATCGCCATCCGATATAGGAAGTGGATAAGATGCTTACTACGTAGATAGAGTACAAATGAGATGTACAGACCCATACGAGATGTATTTATCTCGATTTTTTGCCATCGTATTTCATAGAAGTGGCAATGAATACGCCGCTTGTCTCCGTACCGTTCCGTTGTTGTTTGCGTCATTGCACCTAGTCGCCGGCTGCACGGTTCTGCACGCTGCATAATCGCTCGCTGTTCGCAGACACGCATGCATGCAGTCTATGCACATGTATACGCATGTTTGTCTCTGCGCCCGTTCATTATTTTCTAGCGCCATATGTCCGTGCTATTTAGGCCGCTCGCCACTGATAGTGTATATATACACCATCAGTCACTGCTATCGTAGATAAGTTCATTCGGTATACATTGAGCAATTTTGGTTTCGTAAACGCGTGCCTCTCAGGCTGGCGCCCTTGTCGCTGCTCACGGCTTATATCAATGACTGGGACAAATGTACCATGCGAGACTGACGCCAACACAGTCGATTGTTGTTCGTTAATTAGCGTCAAAGCAGAAGCCAAGCAAGATTACTCTCGGCGCAACAATCGACCAATGTAACCGTCGCCTCTGTCGCTACCGGTCACCATTTCTGATGCCGCCAGCCATAGCCCGTAGCTCAAGCCACTTTGTTGGACGGTAGGGTACCGCTGACCAATACCTGATTCAACAGCATTGTCATATCCGTGACACGGTTCGTTTGTCTACAGTCCATCTAGTGTAGCGACGGGGAATCACCGTTAATATGTATAGACTCTCTAATGACAATTACGGCTGATTAACGCAAGGTCCGTGGTAGAAAAGGTGGGAAAGCCGAAGCATAGACACACACAAATATGTGCGACTGACAAGCTTTATTTTTGTTGTTGACAACAAAAATAATAAAATACAACACTGAATTTGAGTATGACGAGGTCTGTGTATGTGACGACAGCGCTTCAAAATGAACAAAACGGTATTTATGGATGAACAGCTAAGAATAATCGTCGTATATGTAAGAATTGAAGTTCGCTTGAAACCTGCGCAAGTACGACTACGTCTGGATTCGTTCGAAATCTCAGAGGTGGCTTCTTTCAGAGCTAAGAGATTATTCTTGCTCGTAGACGAAGAAAGGGCACCTTGGTACTGGTTTGAAGGCAGACAAGGAAGTGCATGAGGTTTTTGCTTGTACATCAAGCAAAACATCTCGCAAGGCAAGGATCAACCTAAATTGCTTTATCATTCGCGTGCGCCGTATCTCGAACGAATGCCACCGTACCTGTGTTCAATAAGATAGGTAATTTCGAGTACTTTATTTCGGATTATTTCAAAATATATCAAACGAGGTTTTGTTTCGCCATAATAATGCCACAAAGCGGTTCACAGGTCATAATATTATATGCTAAGCCGAGCATAGAGTGACATATTCGTCTGCTTGTCATCTAGGGCGAGAGTCAAACAGTCCACGAAGCGTTTGTCTAGCTTTCTCAGTGTTACGGTAGATTAGTCATGAATGAAAACAGTCGTATATTGATAATGAGGAATCGGCTACGTATTGCTTAGTTATGAAGCCCTTCAGCTCTTCAAGTCTGCAGTCATGATCTGCGCCACGCTACAGCCGAGATATATTATGATTAGTGATATCTATTCGTCATCAAGCAATATGAATACGATACAAACACTCAACAACGATATATTCATGGATAAACGTTGTTTTGTACCCTGATATGTTTGTTCTTTAAGGCCTGGTGCTAGATATTGGCTCTCGTAGCTTTGCGGGTTAAGACCAGAAGGACAAGCAATGCCCTATGTCAAGCAAGATCAATTTCGCTAGCCCCGCGCATCGTGTCCTTCTTCGCGCTCTTGTCCCGCTTGCGGTTCTGTCCTTCAGTACAAAAATAAAAACCAAACGCGCTTGAAATAGTCAGGTCGGCAAAAGGAAAAGGTTGCTAACGCATATACTGTTATAATTATTATCAGTTAACAATAACGGTAATAATAGTATGATACTCTTACTCAAACAATCATTACGAAAGACCACTACGATTGTGTTTACAAATTTATTCAGATTACGAATGAATGGTAAGTAAGTGACATAATTGCTTTTAACGAAGTCTAATCTGCTGACGCGTTTTGCTTGTTAGAAAGGGGGCTGGTTATTGTTTCCCCCACTGTACGATCCTATTGTACACACACGTAACTATGAAACAATGTTTGCAGTATAGCAGAAGGCCAAAAATTTTTCATTTAAACCTGCAGGACCATGCAACCTTCCACGAAAGCCCTGTGATAGATAGCACCGCCTCTTCTCAAGCTGTAGAACTTTATTAGCGTGGTATAGAAATGGTTTCTTGTATACTGTCATGACAGCGTTAAACCATAGTGCACCACATAATAAATACACTGAGGTCAAATGTGTGTCAAACAAATAGAGCTTTGAAACCACGGGAATATCACTTAATTTATTCTTCTTTTGCAGCCATCCTATCTGAATTCTTTCATATTGGCATTTTTCCAACGGAGTAACGTAATATTCCGTGCGTGATAGCCCACTGCTCTGACAGGACAGCCCACCGCCAGGACAACAACAGAGCCTAATTTTTAGTTGCAATTGTTAGATTGTTCTTTGTGTTTTTGTCGCATTTTAGCGTATATTTCATATTGTTAGAAAAGTAATTATTTTGCGCTTCTTCGGTGTGCCATGGAACGCTGTTTGTTTTGTTTGTGTTGTTCCCGTTTAACTTCTAAAAGGAAAATATCTTTATTTAGTTCATAATGACTCGAAACGAGCGAATGACATACAGTTTTATGTCCGAGCAAATTATACTTCCTATAAATTTGTGTTCCCGTAGCTCGATTTCGATTAACGAACGGAGTCTCTTTGCTGAAGAAAAATATATCCGAATTTATCAAGACCAACCAAAACTGAGGTTAGCTGAATCTGATTTCGAAAAGGTCGGCATCTCGAATTTTTTAAATCAACTCGTTATTGGAGATAAGAAATGAGGCAAAATTCACTTGAAAAGTCAAATGTGTTTGTCACTGATACGGACATGGAATAGCTTGTCTCACCTTCGATGATAATATATGATGCGAAAGAAAATCTTGGCGCGGTGGATCCTTCAGTATCGTTTTAGAGCCCGCCTTTCACTCACCTACGACAGACCTGGGCGTCTGCTTGAACGTTTGGCCAAAAAAACGGTGCATTATTATACCCTTCCTTGTCAATGGCTTCATTGTGCTTAAAGCCCTGAAATTAACATTTTCGATAATTTTTATGTTTGTTTCTTAAATTGAGAAAAAAAACTGACCACCATTATTCTATCCATATGATGTCTGTGCCTGAACTACATTATTGAGTTCCGAACGGTGAATCTACTCTATTTACTCATCTCTGTATGGTAACGCTGACAGCATTTGTCTATTGGCGTGCGAATGGAAATTGGTCAGCTATTATTATATCTACAAAAAAATGTAACCATTTTGGTGCAAATGAAAAAAGTGGTAATTCATGGACGAGAGAAGCTTTGAAACTGAACGCTCAAAACAGCAGGATCAGCTCACCACGTACACAAAGTAGCTTAAGTGTTTCGCCCGAAAAAAATCGAAGATTATCTACGCGTAATCTAGATTAAATAGAGTACGTCAAAAATATCCGGATTTATTTTAGCTGCTTGTATTTTTTACTTATTGTCGTTGATTTCAGGGGTCAGTCTCTGGAGATGAGCGTTCGCCTCCACTCGCAATATCATGTGCGGCCGGTGCTGGGCACAAGACAGCCGCCGCCGGCGGCCCGATCGGGGCACCCCCACCTACCGAGCACCATCAGCAGCCCCAACAGCCCGATGTAGGCCCGCCAATGATTCCCAGCGACGAAGAGCTGGCCGCTAGTCAACAACTGTCCGAGGCAGCGGCCACACTCGAGGCTTTGAATGGACCTAAACGTTTACACGTGTCCAATATCCCATTCCGTTTTCGTGAACCAGATTTAAGGCAACTCTTTGGCGAGTTCGGCGTTATTCTTGACGTGGAAATCATCTTTAATGAAAGGGGATCCAAGGTAGGTCTTAAAAGGCAATTCAATCAAGCGTTTGTGTAAGGCAATTAGGACACCTTCAATGCAGATGGCCCAGTGTTGCTGCTCCGATCAGTTTTATATTATCAAGCACGCGATACATGAGTAACGTGTGATGACAACAGTGGTCTTTGTAAAATCAAACAGCAATAGCAAGACAGCAAAAAATATAATTTAACTCTTAACATTGTTTTTCTGCAAAAAAGAGTCCAATCTCCATCTATTATACATGGAGCTGACTCCGCCCAACCACCAAACAGCCGATATTAGAACCCTTTGAGAACCATTTTATTGAAATGAAAAAGGTCTGTTGAGTATTGTATGGTTATAGAGCCAAGCTCGCGCACACTCTAATCAATAGCGCCAGAGTAGTGAAAAGACTTCGGCTAAATTTGCCCTCGAGGCCCTCGAGAAGCCCTATGCTGTAGTCGTCGAACGTAATGCATGTTCGTCATGGGCTGCCTGGTTTGGTAGATTTCAGGAAAAGTTTTGTGGTCGTATAGGAACTTGGAAGCTGCTATTTTTTGTGTCGTAACTTGTGTGGTCATTTAGTTTCGAACTATCTCATCAATGAAAATTGTTCAGTCTAATATCAGGCGGCGCGCTTTTTCAAAAAAGCTTCTTTGTTTTCTTTGTTACTTTCTTAGGTAATGCGAAACGCTTACCTGTAAATAAGGGCTTTCGCTCATTTCGACACGATATTGAAATGCTCGAGAGTTGGTGAGAAGCTAACAGTGTAATAAAATCAAGAGTAAAATATGCACATAAGAGCTACTAATTAGATCTGAGGCAATTTAAAAAAAAATATATTCCCGGTGTAGCTACACACGCTGTAGGTCGACACGTACGGAGAACTGTAAACTTACTTTGAGTCCCTTACCGTTCTTGATCTTTATTTTTCCGTATTGTTCATTGGCGTTCGTTATTCATAACGCTATAACTAAACTATATTGAAAAAGAACTAAATAATCAGTTCGCAGACACAACTTAGCCTAGTTTTAATTGCTGCGCCGTTGTTAGCTTTTTTCCTAAAAAGCACCAGCATTGAGATACTGCTAAGCAGTGCTCTCTACCATAAGCTGGCGTACGAATGGCAGGTTTACTTTGAGTCTATCGTTCGCAGCGGACTATCTTATGGATTCCTTTCCTTGGTAATACCTATACGGATGCTGAGTTAGATAGGTAACGCTATATGAGACGCTTTGCATTGTCAATGGCTGCTTTCACCTTGCCCGCATGCTTCTTTTATTGCAGATAGATGTTTATATCTGCTCGTAATGGATCTTTCGCGTCCATTGTTTTCCAGCTATTGACTATAGAGAATACGGCAGCTTAAGCTTCTCTAGTGGCAACGAACTGCTCCAGTTCACCGGGCGTCAGTTCGACACCTCGTTTTGGGCCTGCGGATGGGTCAAGGCTAAATGTAATAGCTCAAGTGTCTGCTGTGTGAAGTGATCTCCTTATGAGGGAGAAAAAGAGGATCCGCCAGATGCTTTTACTTCGCTGTGCTGTTTCCTGTTTGGTGGTCGTAATACTCCACTGACCAGCTTTTGCTTTTGTGCTTTTGGCAACGGGAACGGCTGTAACGGCTAAGTATGCGCATACTCCGTATAATGTATGGTGCAGTGCTTTGCGCATTATCCTTAATGCTGTATGTCTAGGCATACGGGTTGCCGAAGGGGGCCGCAGAAACCCTGGTGGCATTTCCATTTCCCGCCGATGTTTCCCCTTCTCCTGAAGGTGCCTATATATATATTTCACTTGAAGGCCGTACTAAAACAACTTCCCAATCGTAAAATGTATTTGTTCGTTTGAAATTCAAATGTACGTGCATTAAAAGGGTAAACAGCAACGGTGTTACTGAAACAAAACTGTTCGATGGAAGATACGACCATGAGCGATTTTTGCATGTAACCATAACTAAGATGAAGGTCTTGAACAATGAACTTACATGCGGGTCTATTTATGAAAATTTGTTGCCGTATGAAACACTTGGGGATATACGTATGAGAATACGCTAAAGCACCGTATTAATTTAGATAGATACTGTATCTATGTATGCATTAAGCTAGATTTGGTGCAGCTATTCTACTAAGAATCCTTTGGTGCCTCGTTGCCATCCTACAGTGATTTATACCTAGTACACACCCTATTCTCGCCTTTCGTTTTCCTTAGGTGTCCTTAGCTTTTTCTACTGGTTTCTATGGCGTTGCATGGCACATTAAATTAAGCAGTAACTTAGATTCTTATAGCAGAAAAGGTCACAAAAGTTGTGTCGCACTGCGTGTTTCAGGGTTTCGGCTTTGTAACGTTTGCTCTGGGGTCTGATGCAGACCGTGCTCGGAACGCACTGAATGGTGCCGTTGTTGAGGGACGAACTATCGAGGTAAGACGGATATCGAAATATGAAAGGAAGGATATTGATTACATAAGCGTGATCGCTACGAATTTTTGCACCGCGAATGTCATGCGAAGGTTAACTCCAAGTAAATGTGATAATAAAAAAGTGGAATTAATTTTATGTATTGTAATTAACTGTGATAAAGGAGAAATTTATTAAATTAACAGAACATAGCAAATAGTGTTTCCTTCTATGAATTATTGAAAATAATGAAAATGCAAATAATTTTAAGATTTGTAGTGTTATGAGTCCTTGTCCTCCCTGTTGTTCCTACCTGACACCTTAGTTGTGCCAGCCACTCCAAAACAAGAAGGACGACAACGTGCCCTCATTCCTTAATTTGCTTGTAACGTGTTTTTATGATAATTATTATTATTATAGTTATTATTATTATTATTATTATTATTAATCTACTTTCTAGTTCACCATTTTTTTTTTTTTTTTTCGCTCCTGCGTGACAGAAGAGATTCATTCATCCATGAAGCACCTCGACAAAGGACAACTAATGATCCTTATTTTTCTGTCATATCTCCCTGAAGATATTCTCTTTATGCGTAAATCACCGTTTGTAAAAGTCTTAAGCAGTTTTATTTCTATTACCGTAAACATAAATCAGTCGTTTCCAGGAAAACGTTCACGTGTGGCCTCATGATTCAGCAAGATAAGCTTAATGAGCGGCAAACGAAGCAGCGGATGATTCAAAGTTGGTGCCGGGCACCATGCCCCATGCCCCATTTCTAATGTCATGGTCCGTTAATGACAAAAGTTGTTAGTCGACTCCAAATGGAGTAAGTTTTCCCATCTGATCACGAAGACGATGATCATTCTGCCGCCTGATATTCTGCACACTCACTGCCATTACCACTATTATTACGGCAACAATTACAAAAATGATGGTTCTAAGGCTATTTGTATCTTTATTCCGACAACAGAACATTACAGCTTGCCTTAATGCTCGTGTATCCCTTCCACTGTGACTCGTGCTAGGTATCTTTCTAAATGGCATTTCTAGCCGGCTTCACGCTGCATTCGTTAATATGTTACTGTATTGCGTAATACTAGAGGTTGTTGCGGAGATATTCTTCAAACCTGCTCATTATTTAATGTGGCATTGAAGAAAGATCGCACGTATTTGGTAGGTTTCGTGAGATCTAAAATCATTGACTTGTTGGGCTTTTGCTAGTTTCCTGAAGGTGCTGAAGTGTTTTGTATGATAGGGATGTATCTGTAGAGGTCTTCGTCAAAAGCTACACATGACTCAGTACTGCGCAGGCACAAAACTCGCATCAGAAGACTGCAAGTCGGAACCGCCTCTTTTACAGAATTCATATAAAAAGCGAAATTGGTTTATGTTTTAAAGCCAGCTAAAAGGCGGGCCTCAAATGTCAGTCTCCTTTAGATCTTTATATTCGTTCTAATCGATGACGCTCAACCGTGTTGTTTTGACGCCAGCACAGTCTATTGCGGCCATTGGGACTGATTTAGATTGGGCTGCCAGGAAGCATATATACAAGTTACCGTAAACCAAGTTGACAGTCCCCTTTGGGAATTTTCCCGCAAGCTGTTTATCTCCATATATCAAACAAAGAGGTATTACACAGCAGGCTTCTATCAATATATAGAGTTTAAGTGTGGCATGTTTTCTGCACGCGGTCGACAAAGGAGCAAACTTTTATCTGCCTAGAACAGGTTAATTAAAATTCAGCGACCCACAACGATTAGCCACTAAGTTGCATTCGATGGGCTGATTCCGCCAAGTATTCATCTAGGAAACATGGGTAGCTTGCATTTATCTGTGATAATTACGTATCATTCGCGTTTTTTTTTTTTCGCGGACTGTATCTTCCCAGTAATCAGAAGTAGACGCGAGCTATAGCAATGTATATGGTCGTTACCGACTGAAGTCAATATTAAACGTTTCTTAGAAACATTAGCATTCTGCTACTATTCTCAGCCGTTATTATTGACGACCTCTTACTGAAAAAGTGTAGCCTAAGGTACAGGTCGGTTCAATCATGTCCAACCTGGCGAATAAGGATAAGCGTTTCTCTCGTACAAATTACTTTTTTTGATTTCTTGAGTGGAGACAAAAAAAGCTTTATGTCGGTTAGACATTGTTACTTTATTGCAATAGTTACCAATAACTCTTAGCATCAAAAGCTGGTACGCGAGTAACTATGCAAACAGTGCATCGGAGTCCATTTGGGATTGTTCCAAAGTCGCTCCATCAAAAGAGTGCTTTTTGATATTATGAATTAAATAGAGGAGTGATATCACACAACACGCTATTTAATGGTGTGCCATATACATAAGCTGCTACAAGTCTTAAAAAAAACTTTATGACTTTAAACCAAGGCGTCGCTAGCAAGCGAAGTAAGGCTGGTAAATGTTCAAGCTTTTAAAAAACTAAGTAAAATCCACTTGAATTTGCTCTAGTTCAGTTTCGAAAATTTATGCTTAGTGATCAATCTTTTGTTCCGTCGGCAGTACTGCGAAAATTCATCGAAAATTGAGACACAATATACTATCTCGGGTCCCTCAAGACATTCATGGGCCGTTAGTACGGCAATCCAGCCCAGTTTCTTGATACAACGCCAGACCTCATCGCCATGCCACAATTACTTCCTGAATTGAACAATGGGGTATCCAACGTTGGCTTCCGCCCGTCTGTTTTCCCACTCCCCAGTTCGTGTGATTACGGGGCTTTTCAAGCTTTCCATGCCCCAAAAAGGTTAACTGGTGGCGCAAGTGTATCCCACCATTAATTTACTTCGGGAAACTGTATACCGAGAAATTAGATGTAGTAGGTTATGTAGCTGTGCCAGAACGCTGGATAGCCGAGAAAAATACGCATATATAAATGCACATCGTTAATATATATATACATATATATATTCTTTTTTTTTTTACCACTTGTGTAAGTAAAAAAAGCAACGTGAAATACATTATTCGTCCACGCTATAAGACCTAACTGCACTCTTCGTGTCAGTGTTGCAATATGCGGATATGTAGGACAGCCCGCGCTCTCGGCTAGTTTGTTGTTTTAAATGCTAAACGTTTACGAATACGACGGCACCCGTATGTGAGCCGGCCAATGTCTCTTCTAGCAAAGCTGTTCAATCACCCACAGCATTTTTCTACCGCCTGTTCTATTTGCTTAGACTAAATTTTTCCTCTGCTGAAATGATCCCCATTAAACCTTGCACGTACGCACTTCGGCATTCTTTGCAACCTTGAATGAAAGCGGACGTAGGAATACATGCGTTTGATACCTAGGTTTCGGCAACCTTTACAGACAGTCATCACCTTTTGATTTGAAGATTAACATCACGGCCGAAGTGGAAACACTTAGGCACTGACTTTACAGAATGGTTGCATGTGCACCAGTCTTCCTCGAGAGACAAAACAGGATAACGGCGTCAGTCTGGGCTCGCGTGATCTCCATTAGCGCGGTGTTCCCTTTGATTCGATACAAAAACCCACTCACAACTACGTACCAAGGAATATTTGGCTGTGCATCTAGTGCTTCAAGAACTCCATAGCGGCGTTACACCCACCGCTAGTTCTTTGTTACGTATGCACTGGATCTAGCTGCTGTTCGCACCGGGATCTTTAGGTTGAAAGCGACTTTGCAGACTATAGCGGGCACAGAACCTTGCTGCTCACAGAAACACGCTGACCAACTTTGCCAACATGTCAACTTGAACTATATTTCGGTACATTTGATCGTCCCGTGCAAACCTCGCAAGGGCAATGAAGCTAATTGATAAAGCTATATCAGGCAGGATTGCTTAATGCCGTCTAGAAACGCCCGGAATTTGAACGAAAACCTGACACGTTCCAAGACAAGATGTTTCGCCTGGGCGAACGCGTACGGGTCCTCAAAACCTCCCCAGCCCCACGCACACTACCCTGACGCATAAGGTGGAAATTGCTCGAATAGACAAGCTTTGAGCTTCTCGTACGTTTTCACATTGTGCACAGCGGGTTCGAACCAACATTGGGCTGGGCCTAACAGAAGTTCATAACATAAATTAAGCAGGCGCTTGTGTGAGCTGCCGTAAACACCTGTCGCTCTTTCCACCATTTTAATCCACTGCGCGGGCGTCGATAGTTAGAAAATGGTAGAGTCAACGACGCGACATCCCCTACATTCTGTCAAACGTCCGACCATAAGCCTTAATCTAAGACCTCGGCCGACCACTTCGTCCAACAAACCAACTAATATCGTGGTAACGTGACTTCATTGTTTTTTTGCTACTACGAGTTGTAGTCCCAGCGTATTAGTATCGCTATGCATGCGAGTATATATATATATATTTTAGGCTGCTATAAGCGAATCCAATGAGTTTGAAACTGAAGAACTTTTGAGCCCGCTGAGTTAGAACGATGATTTTTTTAATACGTGTTAAAGTTACTCTCCTTTATTTTCCACGCATTTGTCCTAGCCCACTACTTTTCTACAGATGTATGGCTTCTCGAGATAAATCTCGAGGATAAGTTTGCCCACAAGTCATCTTTTTAGGTCATGGGAAGCCCCGTAATCACAGAGACTTAGATCGAGAGAATAGGCGGGTCTAAGCCAACGTTAAGTACTCCTTTGTCCAATGCAGAGAGTAATTGAGTTAGCGTAACCAACGTCCTTCTGATTGCCATGCCAACAGTCGATGAGCCTCTGAAAGAATTCGATATAGCGGGCTACATTCATTATTTCATTTTAGATGAATATCTCATAGTAGCAGATGATCCTAATGTCAGTTGCAAGTGCTACCGTTACCATACGTCCCGACACTGCCTCCGAACTGGATTTCCCTTTAGGGCTACACCATTTGCTCATTTGGCCCTTCTCCGACTAGGTGTAGATACGGAATTATGCATTGTCTATAGCGATCGTATGCTTGAAGCGCGTTTTATGCAAAATGCACCTGAAATACGTTCTACACATTTCCAAGTAGTGTGGAATCAATCTACGGGATTTTCTTTACTCACATGGCCTGTTTTCAGTACTTGTGTTATAGTTCTGTTACAGGTTATATGTGGAATGGTAGTTTTGCTCAGAGCCCTTAGATCTCCAGCTCTGCTTTCGTGCAAAGCGTTCTCAATCATGGCAGTGTATACTTGTCCTTCCGGTCCTGACATCTGGTCATTTTAGCACTCTACTAGGCTCCTCAACACTCCAGTTTCCGTTCTTAAGACATCCGCACCACCTACGTTGTTCTTTCGTTTAAGGCCTCCTTGACTAATGTTTTCATTAAGCTTCGATTAATTTTTGTAGCTCTGTGAAAATTTCTATTCCTTCCAAGAATCAAAACTCGAGTAGTGAGCATTGACTTCCAAGACTATAAAATATTTGTCCTCCCGCTCATTTCTTCTAAAATAAATTTAATTTTATCTGGCAGCAGCAGCAGCAGCACGTAGTTCAAAAGCTAATAAATTATGAAATCTGCCCGATTCGTTTGTAACAGACCAATATATATGTGGCACGGAAAAAAATTAGGCGTATATATATATATATATATATAGTGGTGTTAAAAAAAGTATTGACCCTTTAAGCCAAAATTAAAAAAATAAACACAATTCACAGAGAGTTGTAATGGCCGAAACAGATAATGGTCCTATAGTGCGAGATCCGGGCTATGATGAATTAAAGTTTCCGATTTAAGTTCTTTTAATTTTTTTCCGGGTAACTAGTTCTCTATGTGGTCTGATGACGTGCATTCCCAACGGACCTTTTTTTTCCGATGGCTAACTATAGTTTTCTTAGTTGTTGGCAGTAGAGGCTTGAATCAATCGATTTCACAGTTAATGATGTACAATTGTTTTCGAATCATACCAAACAGATAGAATCAATCACAGTGTTCGGTATCATTCTGGGCTTTGGGGCAGATAGTGAAACATCTCTACCACACATTACTCTTCTATGTTATCACGATTCGTGACCAACTGCTTTAGACCAATTGCCCAGTTTCGTTGGGTTCCTGTAGGCTACGGTCTAGTAAATTCATTAGCGTCAATTTATGTTGCACCCAAACACTGGATTTTTTGCAGCCGGTTTTAAAACTGTTTGGACAAAACAATTCTCTGATTTTTGCTTCCGGCATAACTTATTCACCCGAAGTTTCATCAGCTTCTTTCGAAATACTGCGAAACTACTACGAGGAGGATGCCTCACATCAAAATGTTTAAAACGGAAGCATCCGTTCGTGCCGGTGAAGCCAGAGATAGCACAATTTTTTGCCTTTACCGTAACGAAATTTTTTTCGTTACATATGTCATATTGTAACGAGATTTCTACAGAAACCTCACATATTCTGGACATAATTCATATTACCTGAGATATGAAGTTTTTCAACAATACACGTCTATATATATATATATATATATATATATATATGAGACGTTTGCAGCTTTTTCTTCCATAATGCGTTTATCCAACGCCGTAAAAGCTTCAAAACTGAGCGCTGCAGCGAACTTTGAAGATGAAGGCTCAACTAGAATTAGTGATTACTTCAGCAGTAGCAGGGCTTGCTAGTTTGTTATAAGCTGCTCTTTTTCAGGGGTAGCATGGAAATGGTACGATTCATATGTCCATAACATGATCCAATTTAATACGTAGTAATGGTAACTGTCGCAGAATATTGATATCATCGCGACGTAAATAGCTAAACAGGATCAATTCGAGTTATTTTTGTGATTAATCCGGGCGATAAAGATAATCTACCAAAGGAACAAACATTTCATGTGAGAGAGAGTGTTTATAAAAACAAACGGTAGTTATATGATAATCCTGGCATAAATTACATTCCCTTTGACGCTTAAATTTTTTCAGGACAATAAGTATTTATTGCATTGTCACCTAACCCATATGGCAAAAGTGTCCTTCATCTCACCATCGTTGCCATTGCTAGGATGAACTGCTTGAACAAGATAGCTGTTTTATAAAAAATTATAACTGCATTCTGTTTAAAACTGGAAAATGAAGCGAGCGATTTTTACGTTTGCCGTCATGTCGTGTTTCGTTAAAACTCTGCGGCTGCTTACAACCCATATGCTTGGGTTTGGCCTAAAGCGGTCAGAAAATGCGGATTCCTTATATTGGATGTGACAGGCTTATAAGATTTCCATCTTCGTATTCCTTTCTTTTCAACTGGTGGCGTCTAGCTCAACATTGTATGTCTAATGAGCTGTAGTTAGTCTGGCAGGGGCCAAGTAATCAGTATAGTTTTTAGATACATGGCTATTTTTACAGAAACGCGTTACTTAGCATGTAGCACCACCAATCGATGTTGGACTAAATGATACTGCAGTTTAAGTTAGAAGATTAAAGAGCGCCAGTTCATAGATGCCACGTTCTAAGCGCACGCCTATAAGACAGATGTGCTTCTAGCCTGCTATAGTTGTATGTAGTATACGAAGCTAAAGCAGAACAATAACTCGTTGCTCTAGTCAGCAAAGTACATTAGTAGAGATAGCACTCTTGGTCATTTCCTTTTATAATTAACAACGGTAAGATCTGTTCCTTAAGCCATCATGCTCTGGTTCACATAGAGTTCAGGAAATGCCTCCATACATAGCTCGATCCGGAATTTAACTATTACATTTGCGTTCCCCATAGATTTCGTCCGTTCCAGGCCGCTTGTTATCAATCGAATTCAGTAACCTCGATGCCTGCCTTAATTATTTCTGTGAATCGATGAGTCGAAGTTCTGGAAAACGAGAAGCTACGTACGTTCATGCCTAAATCATTATTTTCGTCGTTTCGTAGCTTCAAAATATCAGTCATTCATACTGCTGTCTTCTACTTTACTTCTCAAGCTACGTTTTAATGGATAATCGTACTGCCACACATATCACTATGAAAGCGTAACGATGTTCAATCTTACCGTATACACTGAGTCTGTTTTGCCGGATCAAGAACTGAAATTACCGGGTGAAGTACACGAAAAATTGGTGCGAACAAGTTCCGATTTTTGATTCAGACTTCTTACGTTTGTTCTGTTAGCCTAGTTAGCCGCGTTGGCGTAATCTGAACGGTTCGCAAGGGATAGAAACGTTGTCTTTAACCTACGTTTCCTTACGAAATATGCCCAACGGTTCCGAATTTGTTTCTACTGCCGAACAAACAGCTGTTCGGGACTTCACGTCGAGCCAGGTACTTTGCGCTTGCTAAGCTTATCGCACCGGCCATAGCCTTCCGTCCTGTCAGGTACATTCGGTCCAGATACATCTATCCGCTCACTCAGTAGCAAACCAGTGTGAGTTCTCTCTCATTACTGTTCTCCACCGCGTAGGTCGAGGACTTCAAGTATCTCGCAGCCCCTTCTATAGCGCGCACGTAGTGACATGTGCCCGGTAGCAAAAAACAGTGCGTTCAGCTCACGATGTATCGTACGAAGTACTGAGTGATCATAATACTATAGATGTGTGATGGCGAGGAGAACTGCTGGTGCCATATGCATGGCACCAAAGTGTTTACGCCGCTACAATTGATTATATTATGTACGGCGTATTGGACTTACCGACGTTCACCATGCTAGCATGCCATACACGGCGTTTTTCGATGACTATGGTATGAAATGTGTTTTTAAGACCTATCTAACCCTAGGTTTGAACTTTGGAGTTGCGCCGCTAACTGATATTGTTAGCCTAGAAGTAGGTATTATTCTTTGACTGACAAGAATCATCAATAAGATTTTAACAGTTTTTCTAGAATCATTGTCTTGTTTGTTTTCTTTATTTCTCTAGCGTTCTCGATGCGAAATTAATAGAAGTAGTGATTAGGGCTTCTCTTGTCGTTGACTGCGTCTGAACTTGAAACTTTTGTGTTTGTGAGCGGACCTGCGCTGCTATTGTTACAATGAATGCCCGATACAGTGAATGATGGAGTAATCATAATGGCAGTGGTAATGTTGGGTTGACAATAATAATAACGAGTCTGCGGAAATGGGTCTTTTGGGCCCGGGTATAAGCTGCTTAGTGTCATCCGCTTGGTCGGTAGGCGGGTTATTATGACGGTTAATCAGTGAGTGAATGCACCGTGCAAATCTATAAATGAGCATCATCTGTAACTCGAATCGTTCGTTGTTGCTTCCGTTTTCGTCTCTTCTGTTCGTTTTGTCGACTTCTCTCCGTTGACCGTACGCTTTATCAACAAATGTCCATAGGTTAACAACGCCACCGCACGAGTGCATACGAAACGAGCGGCATCGCTTGCGGCATCAAGTAGGTGAACACACAAAATCATAAATCACCTTACTATCTCTACGATAATTTTTATTTTCTACTTGTGGACTAAATAGGATTTACCTGTATGGACCGAATTAGACCTACATGTATATCTATTTATACGCACGCACCCGCACAGTTTACTCTCATCGGGTCACAGGGAGCTTTTTTAGAGCCAGACTTAGTGATTAGACGTTAAACATCAAATACTATTTCATTAACGTAGAGCTCTAAGGAGGGAAACGTCATGCTAAACAAGTCTGTTACCCTGGCCACGACCAAATTTAGTGAACGGTATGAATGATTTAAATAACTATAGGTAAGTTTTCAACTCCTTTGACATGCCCTGCGTTTAATTTCGTTGCCTAATTGCAAATGAAAGGGTAAGTGTGTTGTCCGACAGGTGTTCAAATACAAAATATTATTTGATCTATGGGTTTACAGCCCTACAGCTAAGTGTGTAATCAGGCCCGATCTACAATTTGTTTCTCTTTCAGTTTTATAATCTTATAGGTGTATAATTATTTATTTAGATTCGATAGTTATGTTAGCGCTGCTGAACGGTACCGGCTCTACCATCATGATTCTGACTTTTTTTTCTCTATTTATTTTCAGCTGCCGCGGCGGTTGCTGCAGCCGCTGCGGCTGCCCAAAACGGCGCTCAGAACGGCTTAGCTAGCGGTGCGCTGTCGGGGCCGGGGAGTGGAAGCTGCCTTCCACCGCCTCCGCCGCCAGGTGGCGATACTGCCGGCGGTCGACGGTTGTCTCCCGTTGGTCCCCTCGGCCCTGGGGGTACGGTTCAGGGGGCTCCATCCTCCCTGGCCTTAGCGACGGCTGCTGCCTCCCGACTCGCCGCGTCACCGCTCGCTGCCCTGACAGCCGGGATCTACCAGGACCCCCTGCTAGCCACATACGCGGCCAATGCAGCACTGGCGGCACAAGGCGCTTTGCCGGTCAGTTCCACGGCACAAAATACATGCATACCTCCTTTTCTCACTCTCCCTCTCTCTATAGCAAAAGCTTGCTGATAGTTAAAGAGCCTTAACTTTACACTTGTTAAAGTAGCAAGAAGTAAGCAAATAATGGCAATGGAGTGCGAATTAAGCCGTGTGGCAGGTCTGACTGCGGACAACAGGGACACGGTAATGCCACCTGTTAAGTCTCGACTACCCGTCTATTACTACAATGAGATCGTACATTAAAACTATTATATCGTAATTGTATAGCATTAGCGTATGCTGAAAAAGCTACGGTTATGACGTTAGCGCTTTCCTTGACTAGTATCGAAGTGACGCAGAATAAGCCTCATATCGTTAATATTTGCAACAATAACCTTTATTACTAATATATTCCTGCAACTTGCTATGTGTACGCCGCAAACGTCTAGCTAAAGAAGAGCCCGGGAAAAAAAATTTTCGGGAACTTTTTTTTATTAAGTTATCTACTTACCGATATTTAGTTCTCTTCATGGCCAGCCGTTGACGGCGCGCCATCCCTTGGGTCATCGCAGATGTATCTGACGGCTTTATAAACGCCATTACGTAGATTATTTGCCGCGACTGGTTCGGAGTCTTGAATCCATTCTTGCTGGACCTGTTTAGCATTTTCCGTATCTTGTCGTTGTTTCATGATCTGCTTTATTCGACGGTGGTTACAACCATGTTGAAATCGGTGTACGAAATCTGGCCAACAATAAACGTCCACCACGTTCTCAAAACATATTTCTAATCATCCCTACATTTTTCCACGAGGACTTATCGAGTAAGTTCCGAAGACGAAATACTAAGATAACGGCAAGTGTTGGTCTCAAATGCAGAATCTTAAAATTGAGCGAGAACAATATTGATTTCTAGTTTGTGCCCTCCACAATGTTTATGCCATCTGCTTAGGACCGCTGTCTTGTTTCGCTTTCCTTATATTCAAGAAGACATTGAAGACGCAATAGGCGAAGACACCGTACAACGTCGTAAGTAACGCGTGCCGCATGAGCCGCTGCCAAAGCCTCTGAATGTGAAAATCGTAGATACAATAGCATGTAAGTAAAGTTTCCGACTTAAATAGCTGGCAACTCCATGTTTCGAGCTAGGTTTAAATAGCAGATCGTACATTTGACCATATATAATCGGTTCGACGACAAGCTGTACACAAAGAGGCGGAGTTCTACGATGGGCAGGAAATTTACAATTGTACCACACACATCTCCTAGCAGTGAATCTGTAAAAGAAGGAACTAACTGTTCAGCTACGGAGCTACATAACTGTGACATATCTAAAAGTCACAACAGTTAACTGCCGGCCATTTCGATAAGATGGCTAAACACCAGTCAGTTGCATTTTTAACATCGACCATTGTTATTCACTAGTATTCCCGTAGCACAGGAAAGATTCTAGAGCGTATCTACTGCAAACATGTCACACAATTCCACCTACTCTTTATCGAAACCATGTGAGTATCTCCTGCTCCTTAAGCAGATATGAAATGGAGACTCTCCGGTCGGAGACGGCCGACAGACTTCTGGGTCATTCTATATATATATATATATACAAATCGGTTTTTGCAGTGACGATTAGTGCAGGTCCTGTGTAGCGGCTGCGGGAAGTAACTACGGGGAGGTGTCGTATAGGTAGCGTTACCGTGTCGCTGCTTGGATTGCTGCCGTGTGAAAATGTCCCGTTCTCGGTAACGTATTCCAGTGTCGCCGGCGTACATTGGCGCCGCTAAAGATAAAGGTGCATGTGTCTGAACGATATTAAAAGTGTTCAGCTCGTACCTTTTTATATCGTAGTTTTACTTCTTGCGATAACAATAATAGCAATAATAATGAATATCGCGGCGGTTGCTTCTGTTTGCGTCAGTGTATAATGTAATATAATAAGTGGATAGTATCACCTGTCGCTTGAGCGAAAAGTCTACTTTATTAATTAGGTGCAGCATACTTGACAATTCCGTGCAACTAAAACCCCCTGAGGTAGATTTCTCATACTACGGTAATTATTTACGACGAGCCTTACAGATGGTGAGAGTTTGGCCTTCCGTATAACCTAAACTGGAACGCATATAGGATTAATTCAAGCGTACTCTAAACTAAGTCAAAAGGACTATTAGTTAGTGTATGCTTCGGCTACAAAAAAGTAGTTTCTTCCAGCTTGTTTATTAGAAGCATAGGAATTGATTCAGTTGCCTGTTTGTATTTGCAAATATATTCTTTTCCAGAGGTCACATAGGGTTCTGCTATTAACATCTTTTATTATTATTGCTTTGGTAACAGTGGCTGTTATTATGTGCGGTATCTGTGTGTGACATCACAGGCAAGTTATGCGGCGTCAGCGGCGTATGGGGTATCAGCTGCCCGTCAGTATGCAGCAGCTGCTCAGTTAGCGTGCGCTGGCCAAGCTCAAGCAGGGGCAGGGCCGACGGCGGCGGCGGCGCCCCCGCCACCTCCCGCTGGCTCGACACAGCTCGCCGCTGCGGCGGCGGCGGCAGCGGCGGCCGCAGCAGCTGCGGGTTATCCTCAGGCTGCAGCGGCGGCCTCGATGGCCGGCAATCCCGCCGCAGCTATGTACTACGCCGCTGTAGCTGCCCAAGCTGCTGCACCGACAGTTTATAGCGGGTTAGACCCATACCAGCATCTCACGTCAGCGGCAGCGGCAGCTGCGGCTCAAAATGGGCTTTCAGCATTATCTGCCGCGCAGGGATACACGGTAACAGCGAACTGTAGAAATTGGCACGAAGCTGTATCATTGTTATTTCTGTTTTTATTAAGCGATTTATATTTTCAGTGAGGCCATTTCACTCATCTCAGGTAAACACGTCCTTGTCCAGGACGAAGACGGACATATCGAGCAAATGCTATTCTTTCGTTTCATACTACTGTTTAAAATGTACGGCAGCGGATGATTTTGCTTCGTCCCTATATATACTCGGTGTAACGTATATGGCAACCTCATGCAGACAGCCATATGTACGTTCCATATGCAATGCACATAAATTCTATTGGATTATACTAGTGACCACACAGTATAAATACCGCGTACGTTTGGCTTTCCAGATATTCAGTAATGAATCAGCTTAGGAAAATTCAGTTTGCTAGTACATATGCGTTTGGTTCATGTAAGTTCTTTGAAGAGCTACATCAGACAGCGAAAAAAAAACGACGACGTGGAAACTTGAAAGATCTTGGCAAACAGCGTTATAAGTTAGGTGGTCTTTGATTCATACGTGTCGCTATGAGCGTCGTCTATTTAGGCTAAAATAGATTAGCGTGGAGGAAACGACCACGCCTTTTTTCCAGCAAACGTGTTATGAGTCCTTGTTGACTCCACCAGCAGCAGTCGATCCTAAGCTCAAGCATCAAGAGCCACATAAGCTGTTAGGTTTATGAAGTTCGGCCGACCGTTCGTCCAGACGTACGTCCAGGTTAATGAACAGAATAAAGGCAAAGTACAGATACCGACAAATACGAGTGCCTTCTTTCAATCAAAATGTGCGCTAAACAACCTACATTTTATATATGCACGCTACTTTTTGTTTTTCAGCTATTGACGACGCGAACGCGAGGCGAGATTAGCATTTCGAAGAAATGCTTGCCACCGACGTTTTTTTTCGCGCGTCCTATATTAACCGATCGTTGTAGTTCAATGGTTTTATTAGCAATTTCTATTTGAATTTCAGCCACTCATTAGAGGTGGCGGGCCCGGATCGGTATCTGGAGCGCCGGCTCCTTCACAGTCCGCTGGTTCTGTGTCCACATCAACGGGCCCGGATGGCCTATCACAGCAGCAGGCAGAAATTTTGCGACGGATTCACCAATCGCGCACCCTTCAGCAACAAAACGCGCTTTACAAGAACTCAGTTCGTTTTATGCCATATTGACTGATGTGAGCACTACATCACAATAGAATATAGATTTAGCTCTAGTTTAGGTAGGTCATATAATTTGATTGAGCCAAACCTCGAAAGGGCATAATGAAGTTATAGGAAAGTATCATTCTTAAAGTATTGTGCTGTCTCCCCACGCTGACCAGCTTAGTCTAAGGAGCGAAGAAAGAAGATATGAATGAGAACGAAGTCTCATGCTAGTCGAAAAGTAAGCTTGATACTGGTTAAATAGAGTAGTTAAACAATACCGTCTATATATTTGTGCTCTCGGTGTCCGCGAACGGTAACACGTTAACCGTGTGTGTATTTAAGCCGTCTCTTTTTTTGCCGTATATGTGCCCCCCTTTGTATTTTTCTGGCCACTGCTAGTGGCATTTGGAGAACTTTGAGTCCGTCCGTCATTGCCTAACGCCTCAGTTCCCAGAGCCAATTTGAAATTTAAAAGAATCGCATTTTATACTATGCCTTCTATAAATTTAGTAGCCTTAATTCATATACGCGTTTATTGATGGCTTCAAGCTAGCTAGGGGTGGCGAAATTTTTGAGCAGGGTCGTGTTCTACTGTCTACTTGAAACCGTAGCAAGTCGATCGATTCTAATGCTGTAAAACAATAGATAACAGGTATTTTACATTCAGGTCCGTCTCTGATTACTTCCGAGAACGAAGTGAGTATCATAGACAATGAACGGAGGAAGATGTACTGATGATAACCATTAAGGCGGTCCACATCGATCGCCGACACTAGTATCTAACCAGAGACGTCAATGTGTGTTAGCTTTGGATATTGTATTTGTTCTGCTCTCGTGCGTGTTGTTTTAGGTGAACGCACCTAGTCCGAAGATGGCAATCGTAACCTGGATGCCCGTCGTGCTAATTTTCAATCAGTGTCGTAGAGAAACATCTACTGAGCGAATTTCGTCTTTCTCCAACATCAATGCCATGTCGGTGCGCAAAAGGAGAAGGAGGCAGGCAGTACCTCTCACTTGGCGAACTGTCTAGCTGAAAGAAGGACACGACCATTTAGGAGCTACATAGCTACAGCCTAACTGCGCGTGCCACGCACGTCGTCGACCTGAAGAGGGTTTTCGTGCGCTCGTTTGATGGACGTTCTAGCGCTAGTGATGGCTACTTCCTAGTGAAGCGTGCGGCGAGCATGTGTGACATCCTATTTATATCCTGATTATTACTGATGTGGTTCAGAAGAGATGAGCTCGACAACACGACTATATCGATTCAAGCAAAACTGTTTCCGAATCTCGCCATGTCAACAAGATGGCGACATGTAGAGCATCAGCAAGACGCTAACTATAACCGAATGCTTATTCTTAATGTATGATTAGTGACCTGAGGATACAGGCGACTAGTAGCCATAGTGGGCTAATGCAGGTGCAATAATGGACTAGTAATGGGAAGAAACACAACAAACGATAGCCCATATTGAGTCCGTTCGGAAGAAACGCTGAAAACCTCGAGCTTTTTCACGTGGACTAGAGAGAGGTGTCACAGTAATTTTGAGCTAAATAAGTTCACAACTGACAGCCAAACAAAGCTGAGCTCATAAGACGTTTTTAACGATTCATTGAAGTTCTTCGACAACGGTGTCGGGTTGTTCGGTAGTATTATTTTGAGCAGTTCTTTGATTTGTGACCTAACTTGGTGCACGTTATTAGGCTAGGGGAGACGCTTGTCCCTTACACTAGTTTATTGCGTTGTCGTCTGCTAGTTCGAGTTACCTGTTGGGTGATAGAAAGAGCCAATGTGTAGTTAAGCGGTAGCTTTTTGAACGTGTCTCTTCAACACTTTTCGCAATTATTTCGTGACAAAAGCTTTGTTGGTGTCAGGGCTGGTCGTAGAATGTTTTGCTATCATGATTGAATGTTTACAAGATTGTAGCGTTTATATCGATAGATGAGGCAAGCTATGGGTGGTAGGACGTGGCAGCGGCTATAGCGAGTATTTACGATTTCGGTTTCCTCGCTACTTTGCATATTAAACAATCTATTCATATCGCTATCGACGCATAATCTTTGGTAACATATAGATTGTTCTATTTAGCGCCTAGTAACAAACGCAACGACCCAATGGTCCTCGGACGACACTCGGTCTAACAACACTGCTTCACTACATCGACAGTGAAACACCGTTCACTAACGCCTGTAATATTAATACACCTATACTTGAAGCGCTAAGCATCTCTCCCCGAAGCAGCAAGAGCACGCGACTGGGCTTTCTGATCATATCCTTTAGAAGCCAACAATGTTATTAAAAAACAAAAAAAAGAAACGTTTTTTTGACCCAATTACTAATTCCAACGAACGAAGCAATGTGCAACAAACTCTACATATACACACACACACACACACACACACACACACACGCATACGGGAAATGCAGGCACAGAGAGTTCACGTGACAAACGAGAGGAAGCACGGCAGAACAGGCGGGCAATCCTAGCTTTATAAATATATACGGATGATAAAAATTTATATTGCTCTGATGCACATGTTATGCTTGGGCTGAAAGTATTACCGACAGATATCGTAATCTAGGGAAATGTTTCAGCCATTCTCGGCACATAGCAACGAAGCACACAGAGATCTATCAAAGAAAATAGAATTAGTTGAACGCAGTCTATGGATAGGTAAACCGCGTCTGATCTGTTCGGGACGTGAGAAATTTCTCAGCTAATCTGAGTAAGTCGTATAAGTTTAGCAGTAACGCTACTGGCTAATTTTGTATTCGGCCGTCTGACATTATCATTAACGAAAAGAAAAAAAAAGTTCAAAGATGAGTGGAATTTAGTGACAATGCTGATTATTTGTATACTCGATGCATATATAAGTGCCAGAATTCAATAGGTCCGAGTCGTTGTCGACTGCGCGAAACAGTCACAACGTAAAACGTCATTATGGGAACTTTGTCATTATGTACATTGCTCGTATTCATTCTTATATCACCTATTTAACATCGCAGGGAGATCGTCACGGTTTATTTCGCCTGGTAAATCGGAACTATTACCATATCAAAGTGTGTCATGCCACAGAGATGAAACTAATAGATAATAATACTCTACAAGAAGAACTTAGTTTCGCACGTTGTTTTTAAATATCCTTTTCTGTATTTTACGTATACTTACAGACCTAATAAGGAAAATCGTCTATAGAGTCAATTTCACAGTTGCAGTGTGAACGAGCAGATTTGATCTCAGTGCCGTATTGCGGCAGGCTGACGTGCATCAAGGAAACCATAACAGTATAGTATTCATGTTGATGACACTTCTTGCCATTTCTGCCCCATAATTATACGTAGGTTTCGTACGTAGGGTACGTACGTACGTTTCATTCGGGACAAGCAACGCCCAGTGTGACGTCAGCGACGAAAAAAATCGTCGGGCCCTAAAATTTTTAGAAGACACCCGTTAAAACTAGTCAATTTAAACGCCGTTCGTTTCTATTCAGTATATAATATTGGTTTATAGAGCGAGAGCAAGTAGCGGAACTGCGCGAAATGCAGGCTGCTACTTATAGTAGGAGAATCAACGATGCTACAATTCTATCTAGCGACCCTACGTTGTCCGCATCCTTCGTGCGTCATCGGCAACAAAGTAAAGCTGTCATGAAGTTTCGTTTGACCACATTCGTTCCCGAATTGAAGGGCTGGCCTCGGCGTTGTCCAGGCGGTTGGTTAGCAGCTACATGAAGCGAGCGGAAGCGGTCCGGTATCTGCGTATTCGTTTCCTTTAAATCTCTGCCAAAGTAAAAACGAGCTGCTCTGCAAGCTTTTATCAGCTTTCTGATGACCTTTAGTTCTCAGATAAGACCTGAACAAACACAAGTACTCTGGGGACGTGAATCTCCATATCGTAATCACTAGTAAATCTGCTCCTACTAAAGACGCCCTTATTCAGTGAAACATACAGATCATTAGAGTTGTATTGATTTTATTTATGAACATATTTTAAATCATAGATACAATTATATACAGCACCACGAGACGTCCAGTCTAAGATATCACGCCTGTTTTAGTTAAACAGAAGTATATCACGCAAATGGCTAGCTTTTCCCAGCGCGAAACCAGGTGTGTCTACGTCCGGCCTTCGTAGGCAACCATGATCCTGCCGTTGCACCATGACGGGGGCGCTATTTCGAGCCTAGGTAAGCTCGGTTCCCTGGTCGGCCCGATCAAATCGCTCTTGTCAGCCTGCACGAGTATCTAGAATATAGCACCTGGAGGTTCGGGACAAATCGGGACCAAATTAACATCTTTCGTTTACAAGTGACACCTAAATGAAAACAGATGTTTGGATGGTTATTTTCCGAATCGTTCGACAGGGACGCTCTTCGCGGACGAGCTTATTTACCGTAACTGCCGTTGCCTTGACCACTGCTCAAATACGGCACCCAATCGCCCACATATCCTATTCAAAAGCCTTTTCTCTAAAACAATGAGTAATTAATTGTTAATAGCAGCGCTGAGTGAAACGACGTTGCTTCATCTAGGCCCGTTGAAGTATCACTCTTCAAGTCTTTTTTTTCTCATTTAAAATTTGCGCCATTGTTCTCCGCACGACGCATATAATTAGTCGATTTTAAGCTAGTGTCATCATCTCAAGCTATTGAATATTATCTAACATTCGCTCTATGAGAAACATGAACTTTTTGTCTCGCTTTTTTCCCTTCGTTTCAGAAAGGGCTGGTGTCCGGCGACTCTAAACAATTACGGAGAAATCCGTTCCAATTTATCCCGAACATTCTGTAGGCTATTGGCAAGCATTATAATTTTATATTGCCTAGACAAATAATGTATTATTCAATTCGTTTAACCCTCGTGTGTTGCTGCGTTTTGTACAATTTATTATTTATCAAGTACTAACAAAAGAAAAAAAAAAGCATACAAACACATACGTGGGCTGCCGACGAAGGAAGGATAATTATCGGCTGAAAAAATGTAAATAAATATCTTTGTTAAATAGATTATGGCTGTGTCATGCTTCTTGTTATCTCGACGAAACTCTAAAAACGTGTACTTTCATTGGGATAGAGTTGTAAAATGTTTAAGGGCTTAACAAATAATGCATGTTCCATTCTCGACTAACCTAGCCATATACATATCGACCAATCGTCGTAGGCAATATTAAAACGAAACACATATCCAAATATCATTACACATGTCTACGATAGTAAGTAAGAAGATGATCAAGGTTATTTCAAAGCTGCACTGTATATGAACTACCTGGCGATCCACCTTGAATCTAACACAGGTCCATACGTTCTACATTGATCGCTCTATCTGTGAATATTATAGCAGTCTTACGATGCTAAAATTTCTAACGAATTCGTGTAACAGGAACTTTCAGCATAATTTACGGTTCAATGCTGACAAGTGGCGCCTAAATTTAAATGCAATACTGGTACCTTGGAAATCTTCGAACTATTTCTAAATTGCACTGCGTACGAAACTTCTGAATCTGTTAAGAGATTAAAGTAGCGGGAATCGGCAAAAACTACAAGGGCTGATACTGTTAGTATCAGCTAGCAATCAAGTTAGCAGCTCTGAAGCAACTGTAGATGCCAAAAATTTTAATTTACCGTACCTTAGTGATCGAGCCTGTATATACGTAAGCTCGTCTCCTCTGGAACAGCCAGGATCTCGATCGGCTTCGACCCCGTCTAGAACAGCTGTTCCATAGAGTAAACACTCAACGCTTTCATGTTTTCCAGAGGTACCTGTAAAAAAAGTGGGAAACAAACCGCGAAGCGGTTTAATTATTTTTACTGGAAGGAAGCACTCCATTGAACCTGGATGGATACCTGGTTAGGAAGATAATTGCTACGATTTTTTTACTGATTAGACAACAGAACATTTCTAACAGTAAGTTATGCATGCCTTATTGTTCCTCACGGACTTCCGTCGGCTATCAATCAAGTTGTTCAATCTTTATCGCCAGAGATTTCTAGGTTCGTCGATGAAAAACGATCTGTTAGGTTTTGAGCTACTTTCATTGACAAGATACGGTTGTACGGTAATTTCATTTTCCAATGTACGGAAAAGATGGAATTCCTGTAGCAAAAGTCTCACAGAGTATGAAGGGTACAGCAGAAGCTCCCATTCGGATTTCAGGGAAGTAGCTTCGCCATGTATGTACTTGCGTTTTCATAGAACAAAATGCCTTGTCTCTTGAATATTCTGTTGGACTCGATGCAAGTGGGCTGTGCAAAATTGCCGATCAATTGGTAGGAAGCAAATTCCACGAAACGCAAGATCTGATCGGAGTTTGCGCCTTGGTTTTTCTCTTGGAGCTACCCGTTCCGATCTTTGATTCTTGTTTACATACAGATACCACTTCTCGTCATCAGTGACAATTCTGTGCAAAAATTGGTTATTGTGGCGGCAGGACGCTTGAGGCCGGGCAACATGTTCGAATGCAGCGTTAAACTGTAATGTCTTGGATTCACAGGGTTCAAAAGACACGCAAAGTCCCTGTTTAAGTGTAAAGCAGAGGGAGTTGAGGTAGTTAACGAAGGTCATGTAACTCTAACCTACTTTCCAGCTTCCGAGTTGTTTGTTAGCCGTTTTCTGCCAAAGGTGCCTTCAGGTAGCCGTCGTCAATCTCAGACGCTCAGTTTGAGCAGGGGTATCATCCCGGCTCCGAATAACGTTTTCAAGCTCCTCGTAATCGTACACGAGGTAAATGCCCTGGGCAGTTTCGTGTAGTGTGTGTAGCGTGCAGCAAAATACGTAATGCGTCGAAACAACCCGGAATAGACGTGACGTGTACGTTAAGGACTCTATAGCTACGAGTACCATTTAAAGGGTATTTTCTTACTCTAACAGTAGCATTTTAAACCTAAAGGGTGTCCTCGTCTAGACTTTTTGTATTAGTCGAGGATTGCCTTGACCTACTTTTGGAAAAAATGCTGTTTGATAAGTCTATATAAAAGAGATCTCAGCGTACCTAAAGCTGGTCATCGGTTGCATGAATTGTTTTTGATATTGGACAAATTTTATGTATAGTAGGGGGTCGAAGATGCTTTCCTTATGACCTGATCTACTTATTTTATGATGTCTGAATTGAAAACGATGATGCTTTATGATTTGGGTAAAATGATGAGAACAGGCTTTCAATAGTAGGTGAAATTTAGCTATCAGCAACCAAATAACAATACAAGCAGTAAATAAAGACTGCTACTATTTTTCGAACAACCTAAGGTATTGTGGAAAAAAAACACATAACGTAATGAATAACGTTCTTCAATCGAAACAGCGTAAAATGATATATAGAAACGCTTTGTATACAAAAGAAATAAACAATTAGAAAAAAAAATATATATATATATATATCTCTATCACTAATGGCTTGTAATCGTGCTAACCGTACGCGTGTACATATGTTTGCCTTAAGCTTAAACTCTCAAGAATGTATCGCCCGACGTTATTATATGGAAGCATTGATGAAGGTAAACTATTTTTGCAGTAAAAAAACAAAGATATGCCTGGTAAATGTGAACTGACATTGTCTGCTGCCTAGTGTAAAACGGTTGATATTAAAAGGATTTATAGTACACAGAAAAGACTGTGTGACAGTAAAGTTGTCTGTGGGTTTGAAGAGCGGTTTCGAGCTTAACGATAATAATTTCTCGAGACGCAGTGACAAACAAATATGCCGCAGAAGGGCCTCAACTCTACTATAATCAGTTCGTACCATATGCCTAAATTATGTGAGATAAAGGCTTACGTCGGATTTCGATATCGATCGTATCACATTAGAGTCTGCATGTTTATACACGTAAAAAAAAAAACGTCTAAAATGCACTTTTTAGGATAGGTTTTTTAGCTACGGCCTATTTAGTCTCTTCTGCGAACCCTCATCAAATATCCAACGTAAGCTATGCAAGAAACGTTTGTCCATCTAAAGTGCCAGAGAAATGATGGTAGCTGTCGAGTATTACATTTAGGTCTTTTCCATTTGCTTCCACTCTTCCATCTTTCCATTCCACTAAATCTAGCGTTTTTGAGTTTCAAATAATAAAAAGACATATTCAGAGTACGACTTGATTGTATTTAAAGTACACCACGTAACGAAAATTGTAAGACTATTATAATAAGGAGTAAATCTGTGTTGCTTTGACGCAAATAAAACGCTTTGCTGGTCAGGAACTTTAAAAAGGGAGAATATTGATTGCGTAGCAGAAAGTAGTGGAAACTAGTTATTGTGCTCATAATACTCGATGTATTCTTCCAGCTGTTTAGTAGTAGACAAGATATTGTGGTACCGTGTTATCAACATCAGCGCTGGGCATCGGATCTGAAGAGGTGCTCAAAATGCGTAATCTGTAGTAATAGCTTGTAATGTCCCGTCTCCAGTATACCAAGATAAATCAATAGAATGTGTGATATCTACATACATTTTCGACCATATTGAAATGCACGTAGCATCACATTAGATTAATTAATGGAAAAGTGTAAGCAATTGTTCATGATAGAAGTATAATACGACACCGATAGATGTAATCTGTCATCTATGCTACCTGTCCGACGAAAGATCTTCGCACACGAAAATGATCGTAGCTTTGTAGATTTCGGCGAGAAAAAGTATTGTAATCTATGCTTTCTATCTGTTTACATCTGCTAACTAAACTTTTGCCCTATGAATAAACCAATAGCTAGGGTCGGCACATCGATCCAGAGAGGGATTCTCATGTCACCGTTAAACATCTCCGTTTAACACAAGTACAGTTCCGTATGTCTTGCTCTCGTGGGAGATGTCCACGTATATGGCACTACTCCTTCTGTTTTGTTTACTGTGTACTCCCGCACATGCATAGTTTGCTATGCGCTCCTACAGGCTCGAAAGAAGCTGCTTACAGCGGGAATCCTTCTTTCGGCCAACGGCTGCAGAAGGATACGACCGGCACACTTTCTCATATGCTTTCTTGGGCCGCCTCCTTGTTGACATGGGCTCATATGAGCTTGTATAATGCTCACACTTTCTCACGGAACTCAAGATGACCCAGGAAACGAAGTTGCACATCTTGCTTGTACAATACGGATAACCCTCACGAAATTTCAAAGAATTGTGCATTTCTGCAATGGTCGCTGAGGTTTCTACAACGAACTTGCTTACGTCAGCTTGCTTGCGTCACCCTCTTTGTTCGAAAGGAACTTTCAGATGTATAGTCCCTGGAACTTTTCCGCATATGCAGAAACATTTTTCGTATTTTCTATTCAATAAGCTAGCCATCGTTCCCTGTGTGAACGATCTTTATCAGTGATGAACTGTGTTTCCATTGATCTTGATTACTCCAAGCGGCATATCGTAACTCACTAAAGATCAGTCATATAGTCTTAGTCGTTCGATCATAGAAATACTTGTCATTTCAGTTACGTTCATCTATAGATTGTAGTACAGAAAGTAATACGAACAAAGTAGCTGCTGCAAGCTCCGCAGTGTTTTAGCTAGTCACTTCGCACACCGCCAAAGCCAGGGTATTGCTTTACGTGTATCTAATAGATTATTGTTCCGAGGTGATGCTCGCTATTAGTGTGATGACAACAGCCTCCGATGAAATGAAGGACAGCCAATCGTTGTTCTTCCATCTAGGCCAAGTCGGCTTTATAAGACCTAATATGATTTAATATATGAACAATCTTTAGATATGCCCGACCTAAATATTTCATTTCAATATGTTCTTTAAAGAGGGACTTCAGAAAGCGAAACTTATTCCAGAAAATAGGGCACTTCTTCGTATTTTCTATTGGATGAGGAGGGTTCATTTTAAACATGGCGTAGCTCTTCGCAATAGCCTATACACTTAATGTAGATGACGCATGTACTTCACACCTTTTTCACTATTTTCTCTCCATAACTAATAAAACAACCATATTAATTAGAAGTATTCTCCTTACCGCGGTTCCAATGCCCTAGTTGCCCTAACGGTAAGTAAGTCCAGGGACTCTA